AAGATCGGCGGCGATTATTATGCGAACGTTTTTTTGTTAAAAATGCACATGGAGACAAATTGGGTGACCTCTTACCGCCTAAACTTGAACATAACTATAATACACGTTATGGAAGCGATTATAATAACTATAGTTGTAAAACGGACAGATTTATGAAATCGTTTTTTCCACAGATGGTTTCACATATGAATAGACCATAATTTTAATATTTTTAAATTTGAACTCTATAACTTTTTCAACTGAAGTTATGAATAATTTTATGCATCTAGATATTCTATTGTAGTATAATGAGACTTTTTACTGATGTAATTTAACCTAATAGGTTACAAATCGGTATTTTATTAAATTATTATTATAAACTGAGCTTTTCGCGAAAGATTGCTATCCCGAGCATGCGCGCAGACCGAAGGTACTGATCTTGCTTTGCTATTTACACATGGTTGGTCATCTCACTGATCTCAAAAATACATTGTATTACCAGGAGTTAAACGAGCTAGATTCTAAAAACATGAAACAGCGAAAGGTATGGCTAGTCTATATTTTTGTTCAGACAATTGCGTAATTTGATACAATATGATCGTGTTTGACTTTCAAAGGCCCATAAATCTCTACAATATTGATAATGACTATAAGTGAGGAATTAGTTGAACCTTTTATTTCTGAATCGAATGGTGGTATTTCTGTCTTCATAGCATGCACTGAACCGAAGATATGAACATGCAAAGCCGTAAACCTCTCGAGGATGAATGAACTGGGATGGGTCGTCAAAGAAACTCCTGTATCGGCGGCCAATTTGATGTGAGCTTGTGAATCATTAGAGGAGAAAAGGCCGATTAACTCCATGAACGTAGGTCGCATTTGTGACGTTCAAAACAACAGGCACTTGCATTTTAATAAAAAGGGGGAGGTTAATCTCTCTGTATGTCTTTTAAAATCAAAAGGAAATTCACTATTTCAGTCACTCAAAAGTCAAAATAAAAAATATAGCCATTTCTTCTCTCCCAAATGAATTACAAAAGCATACAGGTCATCTTAGCTAACTGTTATTAATAGTTTACCGTTTTAATTAGAAACGTATCTCAAAGCACTCCAAAACGATTTTTCCTAACTGCTATATCCACACTGCCAATAAATATTAAATACAATTTGCCAATTAGAATCTTAAACTATTAATTTCTCAGCTGCTATTCTATAGGATTTTTCAAAACTTTCATATGTCGTACAAATTTATCTCCTCTTTCCAATGGTTATAACCTTAGGTGGTTCAGGCCTGCAAACAATCAAAATTCTGCTGCAAGCCTGCAATCTGTACGGTATTAGCCATAAGCAAATACTTAACTACAGGGTGTATCAAAAAAAGCGCAATCCACGACTGAAATGTAAATTGCTAAACAAATAATAGACGAAAACGTTAAAGTTTACATTCATTTTAAAGCGTAGCCATTCAGATTTCTAACAGTGTGTTGTTTCTTAAATTTGACTCATTGGTTCGCGGGTAATAATACTTTATGTTATTGCGATTGGAGATGAAAAAAATTGAGATGGAATAACAAATCGTTCTTCATGAAAATAACTGATTTTTTCATTAAAACAAAAAAATGTTGCATTTTATTAAATGGATTGTAACAATAAGTATAATTACGGCTTTTCTTCCATTATTTTTAACTCAGTTTGAAACATCAAATGCGATATAATTTTGGCTTGGACCATCTAAGCTGACTGACATCAACTTTCTATAATTTCTGTTTACATTACATCGCAATTCGATGACACTCTGGCTCAGACACCAGAATGTTTTGACGATTTTTAGCATTCGTTTAGGATTTTCAAACAACCTGGTCTCTTTTAAAATACTTTTAATTTGTTCTTACGTGGTTTTCAGATGTAGTGACGACAACATTAAAGTTTAAAGAAGAAAATTCTATCATTTAAACCGACTAAACAATAACATAGTAAACTTGCATAATTAAACAGCAACTAAAAATGATAGGTTTTACTAAATCTTTTCCTGTGCAATTATTACTAGCATTGGAGACAAGGATAATAGTTTATTTGAAAGAGAAAAGAATAGGCTTTGAAGTAAGCCTAAAAGCGTTTAACTAGAAATAGTATTTCGAAAGTTATTAAGCATAAAAAATGAATTGCGTTTATTTTGATACACCCTGTATATCTATACAGGGTGTATCAAAAAAAACTGAACAGATTTAAAATTGCTCTCAATTTCGCAAAACAGCTATTTGTATCCGGTTTTTTTATATATAGCCTCTTTGGGTACTTATAATGTAGAATTATGAAAAAAATTTCTCGAACTCAAATTTTGTGAACCAGGGGGGTGTGTCTTTTCCAACAAACTAAAAATGGCTCGCGCACAATATTTAAAAGCTGCAATCATATTTTGAGTTAACAGATAGAAAATTTGTCGGGTTTTTAATTTCTGTACAAAATTTCAGACAATTTGGTTTAGTTTAAGCCCCTTAACTATTCACACAAACTTACATTTTTCCTAAAAATCAGCTATTTGCATGCTTAATTAATGCATTTGCCTAATTTGCATATGTCAGCAATATGCAAATTAGGTAAAGGCATTAATTAAGCTTGCGAAAGGCTGACTTTTTAGAACAAAATGAATAGTTAAAGGGCTTAAACTAAACCAAATTGTCTGAAATTTTGTACAGTAATTAAAAACCCGACAAATTTTCCATCTATTAACTCAAAATATGATTACAGCTTTTAAATTTTGTGCGCGAGCCATTTTTAGTTTGTTGGAAAAGACACACCCCCCTGGTTCACAAAATTTGAGTTCGAGAAATTTTTTTCATTATTTTACATTATAAGTACCCAAAGAAGCTATATATATAAAAAACCGGATACAAATAGGTGTTTTGCGAAATTGAGAGCAATTTCAAATCTGTTCAGTTTTTTTTTATACACCCTGTATAGGCTAAGTTAAGATCGCGCACGCTGTCGAGAATTGCATCACCATGTTCAGTAGTTAATTAAAATACAAATATCTTTGCTGCTATTTCATAGGATTTTTTAAAACTTGCATATATTGTACAAATTTATCATTTTGACTTGTGAATGATGGAAATGTGTGAATTTACACCATCACGAATGTCATGTTGACGAATGTCATGTTGAATCTCTTGCGTACTTCACAGTGGTGCTTACAATGTGCTTACAATACTGTATATATTTCACTAGAAATTTAATTTATAGTCATTTGACATTTAGCCATATATTATCCACCGCATTGGTGCATCCAGGATGTATAGAACTCTTTATATAAATCTTTCCTTAGAAATGATGTGTCCGGATTTGCAGTATTTTCTTGAAAGGAATTCTAGTTGTTTAATGTTAATATTACGCCTCAGTGTATTACTGATATTTCATGCAATCATATGGCGCCATGCCAGTGTTTAATATACGTGCTATATTTGCTGTCATACAAACTTACAAATCTAGCTTACCATTGATCAGTCTTGTTCTCAAACTTTATAAGCATCGTTACTTACTTCTCGGACCCCATTCGTCACTACAAAGACATGTTTTTCAATTCTTGAATTCTGTATACCAGGCAGACCTCTCAACTCTCACGCATTCGGCGTGAGCAGGGGCGTGAATCTCACGCAATTCGCTTCACTCTCACTCCCACTCTCACGCCACGTTTAGTAAATCTCACGCATATAGTAGTTTCATAGTATTTTTTTCAATAATATATTATTGTATTCTTAAATGCACATTATTAATCATTATACGGATCGCGAGTCGAATATATTATTGTTCCTGCATATACGGCCCGACATTTTGCCCGCAATTTGGATACAAAATAGTATAAAGCAAATTAACACAGACAGTGCCTTTTTTAACTATATATCTGCCCCCCCCCAGGGAAAGAATTGCCCCCCCCCCAGTAAAGCCATTTCTACGGTGGCCCATTAGGGACATGCATCTTCCATAGAAAATGATGCTTGTTCCGTAGAATATAGCTTGTTTTCCGTACAAATGCAGTCATTTTCCGTAGAAATGTAATATTTTTATGTAGAAATTAAGTGTATTCCGTAGAAATTTGATGCTGTTCCGTAGAACGTGTTATCTATTTCCGTGGAAATGTGATACTTTTCCGTAGAAATAAAGTGTCATTCCGTAGAAAATCATCGCTTCGCCATAGAAAAAAACACAGCCCTTCCGTAGAAACTTAACACTAATGCGCGCGCATGTGGTTGTGTTGGCGTCCCCAGTCTCTCCAACGAGATTGCGCCACTGATCTGGAAATATTTTATTTCGCGGCTTATTCCAGCGAATTCCAGCACGTTTCTTTTGATTCAAATTTGTTTTAATTAAAATATTTTGCCAAACCTGTGGAACTAAACTCTTGGAGAAAGCCAAATACTACCACAATTGTGGCGCGTGTTCGTCATCACAATTCACAACCCGGTATATATAATCAATAATATGTAAATTTATGTAAATATTTAAAATACTGTAGTTTTAGGCCCTGTTTACACTATACCGGATTCGCTGGTCACGACATCTTCTTTTGCCGTTACGGAGCAATGGTTAGTAGCAAATGCTTATTAGTTTGACAGAATTGGCATGTTTATTTGGGTCTCTGAGATTAAAAATCTTCACAGCCTTTCGATACCTACAAAATTTGACCCACTCCGATAGCAATCCGGTATAGTGTAAACGCGGCCTTAATAATTGCTGCGGAGCGAGCGATCCTGAAGCGAGCGAGCGTAGCAGCAGCCTAATATATGCAGTGAGGGGGTTTGAACTAAATTTTATTTAGCGCATGGAATTGTGGTCGTGCTCGCTTTCTATGCGCAGAACACAAATTTTAAACTCGCTCGAGTCTTCGAATTTTTATCGAATTTTTAAAGCTTTTTTAAGTCTAATGTTACGCTTATATTTGTTTTGGACTTTGGCCACAGTTCTCATGGCGAGAAATATTGGTCACGCACGCGCAGTAAATACACAAACTTGGAAAACATTTGAAACAAAATGGGCACGCAAAACTATAGGAGTTTGAATGGGGTAAAGAACAAGTATGGCCTTACCTCAAAACTCTTTTGAAAATGTTTCTCATTTCCAACTGATTTTGTTTTAAGACGTAAAACCCGATATTTTGATATAATAGATAGTATTCAGACGTTCATATCTCTTGCGGTTTTTCACAAAATAGCCAACAGCGTGTGAACATAGGGAAATGTAGTTATTGACGTCGAATTCTCGATTTTGGCTATCGTTCATCTAAGGTTTACGCGAGATCAGCCAACAATATGCAAACGTTTCCAACGGTTTTCAAAACTTCAAGCGATGATCTTGAACACTCATCAGTGCAAAAACATGAAGAATATATACTTCTTGCGGTTTTGCCCTTCAAAATCAGCATGTTTTGTGCTTATATTTTATCAAAATCAGCCGTTTTCCATCAAAAACACTTCGAGAACGAACTGAAGTTGTTTTTAATCGTCCATCTTTGCTAAGCGACCAAGCCTTGGCTTGTTGCCATGGTTTCAAACATTTTCGAATATTTTTTCGCAATTTTGGTCATTTTCAGTGCCAATATCAGCTTTTTTTCTTTTTTTTTATGTTGTTGTATTCGAACTTACGCATTGCTCGCTTCTCTCGACAATTAAACGATCTATGGCAAAATAATTTTCTCCGTATTCATTCTTTCTCCTTTTCTTTTGGTTAGAAACAGCGTAATAATCAGCCGTCGTAAGATTGTCCAACTCTTTACAAAACGCGATAGTGGTCATTTTGCTGCACGCGCGCAAGAATTTTACCATCTGGGATCTGGGTACAAGAATTTCGACCATGTCCAATATTTCTCGCCATGGTGTGTTATATGTGTATGGAGGTATCTAGTGAACTTTTCAGGACACTATAATATCCATTACATAACGTTTACTATATTGGTGCGTGAAACATGGAAGGATTACATAAAAGTTGTTCTTAAGCTACATTACTCAGAAAATACTTCTGAGCCCCCGAGCGGTGATCGATTAACCTGATCTCTAGAAACTAAAAGGTAATTATAAATACGTGCAACGACTCAATAAATTCCATTAGGAATATTTATTACTATTAGGTTCGTAACACAAGATGTGACATTTATGCATCAGATGAATTATAGCCTTGAACATTATTCCACCCTTCCTAAAAATTTTAAGGGTGCATGGTAAACCGCTTTTCCCCAAAACTGAAGGAAAATTTACCAAGCGGAAATTACTGAGTTTTATTTTCATACACTCTTGCGCGATAAGCCGACTTTCGTGCGAATGATCGGAGACATTTTTATATTGTGCATCAGCCAGGCAAAATCGTTATTTTCTGGCGATAAATAAAGGTAAGTTATCATGATCACGAGAATAAATGAAATCTATTGGAATATTATTGCAGTTCAAAATATTGCCCAGAATCAAATTATAGTTGACTTTAATTTAACAATATTCTTTAATTCTTTAGATGTCTGTCCCTTGATAAAGAATATATTAAAGGAAACGTATGATTTTCAAACACAATGTGCTCAGAAATGTTTCCAAGACGTTTTCTGTACTGGGTTCAACTTTAGAACGCTGAAAGGACAACTGAAAAAAACAAACTGTCAGTTAACACACAAACTTGATCACGAGTTTCATGTCTGCAGTAAAGATGACAAAGGCTGGATTTTCTACCACACCGTTAAACCATGGAAGGTAAAACAATATGTTATATCGAAAATGTCATGTACACAGTGGCGTAGCAAACTCGGTAGTTGGGGGGCGGGCAATATTCATATTCTACTTTATTAATTTCTTTTGAAATCAATTGTTTTTAAGCTCTGTGAACATGAATATATGAATATTGCCCCCCCCCCAATTATCGAGTTTGCTACGCCACTGCATGCATGTATATATATAAAATAATTTGTGTGATAGAGTGGCCAATTGATAATCAGATTATATAATAAGGAAAAGCACCAAAACTCAGCACGGTTTGTTTGCAATATTTACTACTCGTGCCAAGGTCTTGGCTGCTGCACGAGTATAAGAATGGGGAGATTTTTTAAAGTTTTTTTTCCTTTCATGGCTCTCACAAACGCGACATTCCGCTGTCACTTACAATCCTGCAAGGCTTGTTACTATATAGTTGTATCCTGTTATACTATAATAGTTTGTACCACGTAAATAACTGTAACAGGCACTCTTCAGATCAAATAGGCTAAATAATTATTTGACTAATAGCTAGCTTGTAAAGAACTTTTAAAATATGTAAAGATGGTACCATAACTAGCATCAAGATATAAAGTTTTTAGTAGAAATTTATTAGCGCGTCTACCGCGTGTCCCAAAAAAAAGTACTCCGGTTTGATTTATAATAACTTCTAAACAAGTAAAGCTATCAAACAGAAATAACTTGCATTAAATAGAGAAAGGACTAACTTAGATTTTGATATGTTACAGTTGTATTTTACTTACAAATTCACGGAGATATTAATGTTCAAAATCGGGAGCATATTTTGGGATGTGTCTAAAATTAGCGAAAATCGGCATATCAAATATTAACTCCAGCGTTTGTTTGCTTAATCACATATCAGGCTAACTTTTATTTCAGCGAATTGTCGTTAGGGTTTGTAAGGGATATGGCGTAGATTTAGACATCTTACATGTAAGTCTTAGCTCATTGTTTCCTGAAATATGAACGTTCGAAATTATGCAAGTAGTTAATAGGTCTTTAAAAACTTAAAGGTACATGGAAGACCATGCAAGGCAGGCGCTTAAATTTTTCTTAAATAGCCTAATTTTTTTATGTTTTTCATGGATTCAAAACAAAGTTGATTATTTCTCGGTTATATAGAGCAGGATGAATATTATTCTTTAATAAAGGAAATAATTATCACTTATTTACTGAGACTGAGGGAAACAGTGTGTTTTGTGGACCCGAGACCGAGGGTCCACAAAACACACTGCTTTCCCGAGATCTCAGTAAATAAGTGTTTTATTAGGCCTACTCTGGGGCGGTAACTCGCCTTAAATCGCCCCAAATCGCATTAAATCGCGGGTTAAAATTGTCGAATATCTCTTAAATCGCCTAAAATCGCCTAAAATCGCCTAAGATCGCCTAAGATCGCTTAAAATCGCCAACATGCATTCTGCTTGATACATTCAGTCCATGTACTCAAGCTTGTCAAT